GCACTGACTGCTCTTACAGAGGACCCAGGTTTAATTCCCAGCACCCACATGGAAGCTACAAACCGTCCTTAACTCTAGTTCCGGGGGAATCCAAAGCCCTCTTCTGACCTCCACGGCATTGCATGACACAGGTGCACTCACATATATGCAGGCAATACATTCGTACACATAAAATAAAAATCATAAATAAAATATTAAAAAAGTAAAGAGCCATAGGGCTCGGGGGGCAACCATTAAATGACCTAAAAAGGACTATATAACCTCAGTAGTATATTTCTGTGGACTCAGAAAATCTTGAAGCCTTTTTTGCTGATTCTGGGACCGCATGCATGTGAAAATAAACAAGCTTTCTGACTCTCCTAGGTGATGTGCTTGATCTCTTAGCCCCTAACCTGTATCTCTAACCTCATCTCAGAACCACACCCTTCCTGCACTGTCTCCAGCTGGATGAAGGACAGCAGGTCAGTAGAGGAGATGCCCAAGGTAAAGACAACAGTTTTAGAGAATCTCAGTGGCTAAGTAGAATCCATGCAGCCCTCATGTCCACTCCCTCTCTGACTTGCCCTGACCTCAGAGCACAGACATCCTCCCTGTACGTTTCTTGGCACCCCAAAGACCTCTGTCTGAGAAATGGGGTCTTGTTGTAGACTAATAGTTGACTTGAGAGAGGCCAAGCTTACTCCCTCAGAGGCCTCAGGGCCATCCTGGAACACCAGGCCCATCTCCAACAGAGGAGGAAATGACTTTCACAAAGTGAGTGTCCGTAGCACTCAGGAGTTCACAACACCTTTCACTATGTTCTTGCCTCTGGTCTGGGCCCGCTCAGAAACTCTTCCCTCATTTTATGAATGAGAAAACTAATGTGCAGAAAAATGGAGACATTTACTCAAAGTTACACAGTAAGTGAGCAGAACCAAATCCTGCCTGCTTGGGCCTCAGTCTCCTGCTTCTGCTTCTGCTTCTGCTGGGGGATCCCAGCAGGAGGAGGTTTTCGGACTAGAACTGAGGAAGTTCACTGGCAAGCCTCACCGGACAGTGCCAGCCTCTGCATGCAGAGAGACTGTGTCCAGGCCTTTGGCCACCCATGGTATCTCTCACAGCACCAGGGAGCCAGCTGCCCTACCCATCTTCACAACTGGTCTTGGGTCTATTGTTATACTATGTACAAACAAGTATGCTCCTTACACACAAACTGTGAAACAGACCCAGCCTTCTCTGAGACAGATAAGCCCCACTGGTTGGGATAAACATACCTGCCATACATAGGAATCCTGCCCTTGAGTGAAATGTGTAAGTTCTAAGGTGTTTTCCTGTCCATTTTGTCTTCAGTCATTCACTCATTTAGAAGCTGAGGCTCTGCCTCCAGACAGCCCCTCTGGACAGCCCCAGGCCCTTCTGGTCTGAGCAAGAATTGAGACAAACCACATTCTTTCCCACAAACCCTGCCACCAAGCTGTCAAAGGTAGAGAGAGGCTGGACTTGGACCTGGAGTCTCTCAAAACATCACTGAAGCCTGCAGCACCCATGGGCAGCCTCAGTCACCAAAGAAATTAATAGCTGTGTCAACAAAATCATCAGGATTGACAAGACCTTAAGCCCAAACCCAAGACAGGAAAGAGTGCAAGACTGGGAAAGCTGGGAGGGAAGGGGCAAAGGTAGGTTCCTGCCCCAGGAACCTACTCAGCACTCTCCTGGGTTTCAGGGATGACCCCAGCAAGACCACATACCCCAGTTCCTGAGCCAGTCACCCCATCACCTGCCAGCCTACCTACCATCTCCTAGCAGAATAATATCTCAGTGTCCAGCTAGAGAGATGGCTCAGCGGTTAAGAGCACTGACTGTTCTGATGGAAGACCTGGGTTCCAATCCCAGCACCCACACAGCAGCTAACAACTGTCCATAACTCCAGTTCCAGGGGATCCGACAGCCTCTTCTGTCCTCCGAGGGCATTGCACAACACGGGTGCACTTTCATACATGCAGCATAACACTCATACACATAAAATAAAAATAATGAATTAAAAAAGAATAGTATCCCAGTGTCTCTGCCTCTCAGGTCAGTGGGTGCCCAGTCAGTCTTCCAAAGACCAGCAACTACCTCATCTGCACTATTCCCCAGCTGTTTCAGTCTTAATTAATGATGAATCATCTGCCACATTGTCTACCCTGTTCATAAAGTACTTAGATACCTGAGATTTCCATTGGGCCTCCTGTTATCATCCTAACTCCCCAAGTAAGGATAGACAACTCAGAGAGGAGAAGACCTGGGGAGAGGACACACTGCCAAGTTGACTCACAACTTTGCCTTGAGTATTCTTTCCTCTATGTTCTGTCATCTAACATTAACAGAACTGATGCTGCGCTGGCTACATACTTACATTGCACTAGGGGCTGTGAGAGCCCCAGGTCCCTGCTGTCAAAGAGCTTACAGCTAATCTATCCAGGGGAATGGGACACATGCATGCATGTGGGGATGTATTAATTCAGAGTGGCACCTTATTTTACAGATGGAGAAACTGAGGTTTCCAGATGGGTAAGGGATTTGTCTCAGTGAATGGTGGAGCTAGGACTTGAATTGGGTCTCCTCTTTCCCAATTAAATGCTATTTGCAGCAAAATGCACAGGTCCCAGGAGCAAAAGAATGGGGAGTTGAGTGGAAGGGTTGTTTAAGTTCACAGAAATAATGAACAGTCCACTCCTTCAGCAAACACTAGCTCAAGAGCAAATTTGATTCCTGGAGCTGGGGACAGAAGTGTCGCAACCTGTTCTTATCGCTCAAGGAGGACAGTCAAGCACGGATGCCACACAGCATGGAAAAGGAGCAGAGGAGAGGGGCTAGCCTGACTGTGGGAAGGACCCTTCTCAGTCGAGGAGAGGCTATGGCAGTGCTCTGGCGTACAGGAGCAGATCTGGTCACATGCCAGCTTCTCCAGCCCCTCAGTCTGGAGCCCAGCTCCACAGCAGCTCTACTTAGCTCTCCAGCTCCAACTCTCCAGTCCCAGTTTCTTCTGGGGACTGTCCTTGGGTCTTGGGTTGGTCCTCTTTGGGAAGCTTCTCTGACACTTCCTGGAGCCTGTAGGTGCTCCTCCTCTGTAAAGTCACATCTTCTTGTGTGAGCTCACCGTGTGATACTGCATTCTTTATTGCCTTCAACCTACCTTGTCTTCCTTTATTCCTAGAGGGGATGCAACTTGAGCACAGACTAGGGTCCCCTGTGCTGAGCATGAGGCCTGACAATAGATGTTCAATGTCAGTTAAAATAGTACACCACTCTGGTCTTCCCAGGGCCCCTCACTGCACTGAATCTAATATACCCAGAACCTAGCCCTGTTGGTTGAGGCCTCTGCTAAGCCAACTTTGATGAACTCTCAATGCCCCAGTCCCTTGGGCACACCCAGCAGCTGCCCAGTCCTTATCAGGTGTTTATTGTATCTTCCTTGTTCTTTCAGATGCCTGCCCAGCGTGTGCCTTGTGTACTTGAAGAACAAAGAGAACAAGGCATCCACAAGGAGCCGAAGTCTGGAGCATACAAGAGTGTGAAGGGGCAAGTGCTTTGCCTGACTAGCATGTCCCAGCTGCCCTGGGCACACCAGGAAGGAAAGACCAACACTGGAGTAAGGGCACAGGAGGATCTCACCAACGTGGTGACATTTACCAGGGTCTCTAAGGATGGGGTGTAGTTGGTCTCTAAGGATGGAGCGTAGTAGGCAAACAGAATTTAAAACCGCAGTAAGGCCCTGGCTTCCAAGGGGAGGAGGTTACAGGAGAAGCTGGTGGGAAGGTCACAGCTGGGGCCTTCACAGATAGGACCCTGAACTGCAGCCCGTGGAGGGGATTTGGGGAAGAAACTGGGAAGGAAACCGGGAAGGAAACTAGGAATAAACTGTGATGAGTGTGAGAATGAGTAGGGGAATATAAAATCCAGAGCTGACTTTACTGGGAGTTTCTAGAAAGGAAAGATAGGTGGTTGAGGGCACGCACTACCGCCCCTTCCACAGAAGCCATGTCCTACAGAGACCTGGCCTCTTGGGGACAGGGTGCTGGTCTTTCTCACTAGCCTCACTCAGGTTGTCCAGGTGACCTAGTGAAGCCCAACTTCACATTGAGATGAGGAGGGGGTGGTCTGATACCCCCCAACTTCTTTGCCCACTCGCTAGGTGCCAGCGGAGATGCTCACCGGGGGATCTGACATTCCTAGATGGGGGTGGAGTCCCGTACTCCTTCCAGCTGCTGGCGGAGGGTCCGGCCCAGGCAGTGGCGTAGGGAGGCGGAGATGCTCACCGGGGGATCTGACATTCCTAGATGGGGGTGGAGTCCCGCACTCCTTCCAGCTGCTGGCGGAGGGTCCGGCCCAGGCAGTGGAGCCAGCCTCTTACCCCTGGTTCTTAGCTCACAATCCCGAGGGCAGGGGAGGGGCTCCAGGACTTTGGACTGAGCCTTAGTTTCTAGGTCTTTCTGTGAACAGCAGGGGGCGGGGCATGGAGGAGTCTCACAGGAAGGGCCTTCTTTCACCATCCTGGTGAGCCGGGTAGACTTCTTGAACCCGGACTTCTTGACATCCACAGTGGGCGTGTGCTCTGCGCCACAGTGGGCGTGTGCTCTGCACAAAGGCCCCTGCTGCAGAGTACGTAAGGTTGGCAGTGGGCAGGAAGTGCGTTGGAGAAGACAGAGCTGTAAAAGGACGCTGGGGTCCATATCATGAAGACCCCCTTGAATGTCAGCTCCCAGCGGGTAGGGTTTTTATCTGTTTGTTCTTTGTACTGATGAGGGGCTAAGGCTTATGGTAACACTTCTCAGATGAAGAGCTGAGGAACTGGGACTCAAAACTGAAGACAGTGTTTTTAAGAAGGGTTCTTGCAGAAGAACCCAGGACGGGTTCTTGCAGAAAGGTTATTTTGGTGGGCACTGTGGAGCAAGTGTCTTAAGTAGGAGGCTGGAAGGCCAAACTTACAGTAGGAGTAAGAGGAAGCAGCCCTGGGAGGACTTCCGGGGCTGAGGGAGGCACTCAGCAGTGGGGGGAAGAGCATCCCAGAGGGGCCAGATTCCCATGGGTAGTGTGCTATAGAATGTTTTTATTTCCTTCGAGACAGAGTCTCACTATGTAGACCACGCTGGCCTCGAACTCAGAGATCTGCCCACCTCTGCCTCCTGAGTGCTGAGATTAAAGGCATGCACCACCACACAAGCCTTGCTTTGTTTTTTGAGACTAACACTATTAGACCAGACTTGCCTGAAACACACTATGTAGTTCAGACTAGCCTTGAACTCATGGCAGTCCTCCTACCTGTCCTGGAAGTGCTAGAATTACGAGTGTGAGGCACCATGCCAGACCTGGAAAGAAACTTTAGCATTGGATAGGATTTCAAGCGCCAGTTCTAAGGTAAGGTCTCCACCTCACCTGCCCCACACCCACAGAATACGCACAGGAAAGGGTGGACAGGAAAGGGTGGCACAAAGAGGCCATGTGACACCACAATCAGGAAGGGAAAGGAGTACAATCAGGAAGGGAAGGTCCTAACCGAAGTCACCAGGCAGTCAGCACTGAGCTGGAGGCTGTACACATTAGCCTCAGCTTACTGGACCTCTGACTGGCCCTGACCTTAGTATCTGCATGCTCGTTCTACGCAAGAGGAAATGGTGGTTCAAGTTGTTGAATTTACTGTCAGTTATACCATTAATAAGGGCGAGATGCTAGATAGGATGACCGGGCTCCAGTGCATGAACCAGGGACATCTGGGGACATAAACTTGCCTCAATAGGCCTTAACGTATATGACAGAATGCATGAGATCCTATGTGGTGATGCAGATAGGGGAGAGGGTCTAAATATGATTGAGATGTATGAAATACATAAAAATTCAATAAAAATATATATTGTAAAAACAAAACAAAACAAAAACTAGTAGAGCTAGGAGCTAGGCTGGGGATATAGCCCAAAGTATTCAAGGCCCTGGATTTAATCTGCAGCACCTAAAAAAAATTAAACCCCCCTCCCCCAAAACAGACCTGAAACAATCTGACCCTAACGTCAGACCAAGGTGTCTCAACAACTGAAAAGAACTGGGATCATGTGATCAGAGTGTGCCACAATCCAAACCCAACATCAATCCAGTTCTATTATTTCTAAGTGGCGGACCACATAGAGCCTTGGCAAGAAGTCTGGTTTTTACCTAAGTGTTAGGAGAACTTCTTGGGATGTCCTGAAATAGAGGTGTCAGGATTAAGGATGCTGCTGGCAGCAATGGACTCATGTCTTAGTCCAGGCTAAAGGAGGAAGCTACTGCCCTAGTCCAGGCTAGAGACGTAGGTGGCCTGGACCCAGAAGGGTGGAAGGCAGAGTTGGTGCTGGCGAGATGGCTCAGTGGTTAAGAACACTGAATGTTCTTGCAGAAGACCTGGGTTCGAATCCCAGCACCCACATGGCAGCCAACAACGGTTTGTAACATCAGTCCCAGGGGATCTGACAGCCTCTTCTGTCCTGCAGGCATTGCATGACACGGGTGCACTTACCTACATGCAGGCAATACATGCATACACATAAAAAAATTAAAAAAAATATTTTTTAAAAAGGCAGTGTTGAGACTTGCTAATTGGTGTGAGGAGAGCAATGGACTGAAGGGTGGCTTAGCTTTTTGATCTCAGTAATATGTAAGACAGGTGCTCACGCAATACAGAGGACATGAGCTGATGCAGGTTTGGGAGATAAAATCAGAGTTATTGTGGACACGTTAAGTTTGTAATGACTGGGCTGGCAAGCTGAGCTGGCTCAGGGCTCTTTAGCTCATACTGCTCTTGAGAAGGACCTGAGTTCAGTTTCCAGCACCCACATCAAGTGGCTTACAACTGCCTGTGACTCCATCTAACACCACCTTCTGGAATTGGCTAGCACCTGAACTCACATGTGCACATTCCTCCCCCATCACACATGTACATATAATTAGATATAAAAGTAAAAACAGGGCTGGAAAGACGGCTTAGTGGTTAAGAACACTGGTTGTTCTTGCAGAAGACCCGGGTTCGAATCCCAGCAGCCACATGGCAGCTAACAACTGTCCATAACTCCAGTTCCAGACAGCCTCTTTTGACCTCCACGGGCATCGAACAACACAGGTGCACTTACCTACATGCAGGCAATACACACATACACATAAAATAAAAATAATAAATAAATAAAATTTTAAAAAAATAAAAATAAAAATCTTCATTTGGAGCCAGGCATGGTGGGGCACGCCTTTAATTCCAGCACTTGGGAGGCAGAGGCAGATGGATCTCTGTGAGTTTCAGGCCAGCTGGGGCTACAGGAAGACCCTGTCTCCAAAAAAAAAAAAAATCTTAATTTTAATGACTGAGTCAATTGGAGATTTCAAGTAAGGCTGCTAGACAAAGAAGTGTGCATGCACTTGGAGACAGATCAGAGCTAGAAACCATGCAGCAGCTTGGAGGTGCTAAAGCCTTGTGAATAGGTTAGATCACCCAAGAGAGAGAAAGTTTGCCAGGGTCCTGGCTCCAGAAGAGGGTCAGGATGCAGAAAAAGGGAAGTGGAAGAGAAACAGGACAGGATAGCATTCCAAATCAAGACAAAGACAAACGTTTCCAAACAGTGATCCACTGAATCAAATCTGCTTAAGACGACAGAAGCCTAGTTTCTCCAGGCACTTTGTAGCTCCTTTCTCCCAAGCTCCAGCTCTGTAAGAAACAAACCTTAGCCAGGGGTGATGGCACACACTTTCAATACCAGCACTTGGGAGGCCAAGGCAGACAGGATCTGAGTTTGAGGCAAGTCTGGTCTTCATAGTGAGTTCCAGGCCAGCTGGGGCTACAGAAAGACTGTTAACATACTCTGTTCCAAAGGCAAAATGTCAAAAGTATTTGGGAGCTTGTATCTAATCCTTAAAAGATTTTTAGGGTTACCTCTTCAGAGGGGGGAATGTTAGAGTACCCAAAAGCCCCATAAAAATAAATAAAAGGGGGGAAAAAAGACCAAAAAAACCCAGTAAGAGTCCACATGCATAATTTGTGTGCAGAAGGGATTTGGGGAGTTTATTGTTTTGTTGTTTTTTGAGACAGGGTTTCCCTATAGCCCTGGCTAGCTGGAACTTGGTCTGTAGACCAGGCTGACCTTGCTCTCACAAAGATCTGCCTGCCTCTGCCTCCCAAGTATTAGGATTAGAGATGTGTGCCACCTACCCAGCCTGCATGTGGGTTTTAATGCCAGAGACATTCTCTGGCCTTGGCATACCTCCGCTACATGCCAGTCACTTAAATACCAACTAAACTACTCCCACAGCATCTCTATTCTCATCTTGCTCCTATTTTTAATTTCTGGGGATGTCATCATGTGTTTGTGTGCATGCACACGTGTGCACATATACAGAGGCCAGATGCTAATGTCAGGTGTGGCCTCCATAGGTACCTGCATTTATATGTCCATACATCTGTGCGCACACACACACACCACGTACACAAAGTTTTTTAAAAAAATGACAACTATGACAGGCCCATTGACTTTTAGAAGCACACAAATTGGAGATACTAAAATACAAAAAGTATGTCTTACAACTGATGAAATTTGGCACCACTCCTTCTGACACTCTTCAGTCCAGACCCCCATCATCTCCTGCCTGGACTAGGGATGGAAGCTCCTCATGGTCTTCCCGCTGTCCAGCCTCTACCTCTTCAAGGCCAGTAGTACAGACCTCAGTTCCTCTCCCATCACTTCTGGCCAGTGTTCACTTCAGACTGCTGCATTTCCCCAAGGGTCAGGTCACTTACCAACAACTCTCATGTACTTTTGTCTGGAATTGCTTCTCTTCTCCTTTACCCATCTCTTCAGCTGCTAGAAATAAGAATTTTCTAGCCAGAACTGTGTGGGGACCTAAAGGCCCCACCTTGCAGAGGTCCGAGAGGAAGTTACTGGGGCGCAGCCTGAATTGTTTTAAAAGTCTGCTGAGGAGTGCATGATCAGTGTGTGACCACCCTTAAGATACACCCTCAGGGGGGAGGGGGATTTCCAGATGCCTTTATAAGCTCTGTAACACCTGCAATAAATGAGTCCCTGCTTGACTAGGCTCCCTCTTGCACCTGAGTGTTCCCGGTACTGGGGGTGGCATGAGCTGCTGAACAGCGCACTTACTCATCCCCAGTCATCACTGCACAGGGGTCGCTGGTTCGAACCCCCCACAGAACTGGATATGGTGAGACATGCCTTTAACCCCAATAGTCAGAGGCAGGAAGATCTCTGTGAGTTCAAGACCAGCCTGGTCTACACTGCAAGTTTCAGGCCAGTCAGAAATACATAGTGAGACTCTGTCTTAAAAGTATTTTTTCACTTGGGAGGCAGAGGCAGGCGGACTGTTGTGAGTTCAAAGCCAGCCTGATCTACATAGTTCAAGTCAGCTGCGACTACAGAGAGACCCTGTCTCAAAAAGACAAAAAAAAGTATTTTTTTTCAGGGATGGAGAGATGACTCAGTGGTTAAAAGCACTGGTTGTTCTTGCAGAAGATCCAGATTCAAATCCCAGTACCCACATAGCAGTTAACAAACACCTGTAACTCCAGTTCCAGGGGATCCAACGCCCTCTTTTGTCCTCCTCGGTACTGCATGACACGGGTACACTCACACACATAAAAGATCAAAAAATGTTATTTTTCTAGCCAGAACAATCTTACTGAACTCCTTTTAATGACTGGGAGTCCTTCTGTTGATATGGCTTGTTAAGAGCATGTTTGTAGCCGGGCGTGGTGGTGCACACCTTTAGTCACAGCACTCAGGAGGCAGAGGCAGGCAGATCTCTGAGTTCAAGGCCAGCCTGGTCTACATAGTGAGTTCCAGTCCATCTGCTAAAAAGAACATAACCTAGCTCCCAAAAGGCACCTTCCTACAGGAGGGCAGAGCTTCCAAAATGGTGGTTTTTCAGTACTAAGCAGGCATCAGCTCCTCTAAAATCTTTCCAAATTCTAAGTCACATCTTTCCCTTCCCAGTGTTCTACATTCCATTCATACCTCTATCAATTTATTTTTTGAGACAGGGTCTCAGGATATAGCTACAACTGGCCTGGAACGCACAGAGATCCACCTGCCTCTGCCTCCTCAGTGCTGGGATTAAAGGTGTGCACAACCACACCACCTCAATCTCCATTGTAAACTATGTTGCAATCCTTGACTTGCTTCTTCCTCTACTGTGAGCTTCTTTGAAATAGTGCCCTGTATTACCCAGCTGTTTATTCTCTAGAACCTTAACTGGGGGGGCGGGGATGATGGGGATATGGGTGAGTGTGGCTGGTGACAGCACTGCCACACACACTCCCTGGGTCCTAATCTCCTGGTTCTGTTACAAAACCACCTGGTATCCTTTAGCCAGGTAACTGGACTAAGCAGTTAAGAGCAACAGCACAGTCTGGTGGTCAGTGATGGAAGTACAGTTTTTTTTTAAATAGTTTTTTATGTTCATGACATGTGAGTGTACCCGTGTTGTGCAATGCGTGGAGCTCAGAAGAGGGCTTCAGATTTCCCGGAACTGGAGTTAAGGATAGTTTGTAGCCGCCATGTGGGTGCTGGGAATCGAACCTGAGTCCTCTGCAAGAGCAGTCAGTACTCTTAACCATTGAGCCATCTCTCCAGCTCCCCTCCTCCTTTTTTTAAAAAATTTTATGTGTATGTGTGCATTGCCTTCAAGTAGGTAAGTGCTCCTATGTTGTGCAATGCCTGTGGAGGTCAGAAGAGACCGTCGGATCCCCTGGGTCTGAAGTTACGGACAGTTGTTAGCTGCCATGTGGGTGCTGGGATTCAAACCTGGGTCTTCTGCAAGAACAACCAGTGTTCTTAACTGCTGAACCATCTCTCCAGCCCAGGAAGTACAGCATCTTGAACAGGAAGTTTCTCTTCAAAAATCATTGCTCTCCAGTGCCCAGCTCATAGTTGGAAATATCAAGTGAGGATGATCTGTATTTTGGATGAACCTGATGACTGTGTGAAGAATGTACTGAGAAGGGACCAAGGGGAAAATAGGAATGCCACTGGGAGGTTATTTTATCAAAGCTGGGAGACAAGTCCCCACCTGGGACAGCAATACTACCACAATCACTTTTTTAAAAAATTGTATTTTCACATGTGTTTTGCCTGCCATGTATGTAGAGTGCAACCGTGCTTGCAATGCCTGCAGAAACAAGAGGGCATTGGACCCCCTGGAACCTGTTATAGATGGCTGTTAGCTGCCAAGTGGGTTCTGGAAAATGAACTCAGGTCCTCTGCAAAAGCAGTCAGTGCTATTAACTGCTGAGCCATTTCCCCAACCTCACAGTTGGTTTTTCCCACAATTACTTTTTTGGGGGTCTTTTTGAGACAGAGTCTCCTGTAGCCCCAGCTGTCTTGAACTATGTAGACTAGTCTGACCTCAAACTCAGAGAGATCCATCTTCCTCTGCCTCCCCAGTTGAGACTAAAGGTGTGTACCACCACTCCTGGCCCCACAATTACTTTTAATGCTGTCTTTTAATAATAGATCTTTTTTCTGAAATGAGCACCATGGCAGAGTCTAAGATCTGATTAATGACTCTGATCTCTGCCTTCTGGTCTTCATGCACTTGTGTAATTCCTTCCAAAGTGTGGGCTGGCCTAGGGACTTGCTTCTAACCAGGAATACACCAAAGGCATGTCACCTCTGACTGGTCTAACCAGGATGGAACTTACACTCTGCTAGCAAGCTTTCATTCTTTCCACTTTGATGGAGAAATTTTCCATGTTGCAGGGACTCAAGTGGCAGGAAACCGAAGGTGACTTCTTGCTGATCAGCAGAAGGCACCCCTCTGTCCAGCAATCCTTGAGGAACCAAAATTCTGCCAGTAAGTGAGCTTGGAGGCAGATAGTATAGCCTTGAGAACTCAATCCTAACCTGACTGCAGCCCTGAAGTGTCTCAGAGGAATCCTGAAGCCAAAACCTGGAAAAATTGTGCCTGAACCCGTCCTATAAAACTGTGAATAAATTATTGTTTTAAACCACTAAACCTGTGGCAAATGGTTTACTTGCTAACCAAGCACCCACTCAAAACGTGTCATCACCACAGGTCAGAACCTCTGAACACCCAGGCAACTTTCTAGTCAGAATCATCCGCTGGCCCAGCACTTTCTTCCAAGACACGTGCAGCATTCCAGCAAGAGGCTTTGTAGCTCATTCTGTAGAACATCACCATGTGAACTAAAGGACAAGTATCATCAATGTTCCTTGTTAGATTCCAGCAGTCTTGTGCCTAGGCATGGACTGTTTTTAGCTCACAAGGTGCACAGCTCTTAAGGAAAGTCATGAACACTAGGAGAGGGTTGGAGCAGAAGCAAACTTAGGCAATTGTGGTCAAGCAGCCCTTTCTTACTTTCTTTAGAGCATATCACAATATATATGGCACTGAAGCAGTCATGCTGGACAGGCAATAAATTTAGCTAGTCCTGATCAACAAATAGGAAATAAGGTAGAGTCCAAAGAACCCACTCTGAGTCACAAGGAGAGTAGTTTAGCCAAAAAGGCCTTGTTCAGCAGGGTGTGGTAGCATACACCTTTAGTCCCAGTACTTGGGAGGCAGAGGCAGGCGTATCTCTGTAAGTTCAAAGTCTAGCCAAAAAGGCCTTGTTCAGCAGGGTGTGGTAGCATACACCTTTAGTCCAGTACTTGGGAGGCAGAGGCAGGCGTATCTCTGTAAGTTCAAAGTCAGTCTAGTCTACATAGTGAGTTCCAGGCCAGCTGGGGCTACAGGGAGGCCCTCTCTCAAAAAGACCAAAAAAAACAAAGGTCCTGTTCAGCACTGAGGAAGGAATCCAGGGGCCTCATGCTACAAGCACTCTACCATTAAGCCACACCCCCAGCCCCAGCTCATGACTTATTCAGGTAAAAATGAGCTTCAATCTGAGCAAACTTGCCAGGTGTAATGGCTCATGCCTGTAAATTCAGCACTAGGAAGACCAAGGCAGGATTATCACAGAGTCAAGGCCAGCCTATGCTAGTTTCAGGCTAGCCTGGGCTAGAGACCCAATAAATCCAAGGTAACTCATAACCTGAGGAAAACGCATTGGCCGTTTTCCTAGTTTTGCACTTCCACTGCCCTAGTCTCTCTTCCATACTACACTGTTTTTAATGTATGTACATATGTGTATACAGTGTGTGGGTGCTTGCAGAGGCCAAAAGAGGGCGTAAGATCCCAAGCTGGAGTTACAGGTGGCTTTGAGATACCCGACATGGGTGCTGGGATCCCAACTAGGGTCCTTTGGAAGAGTGGCAGGTCATCCATCTTGGCACTGAGCATCTCTCCAGTGCTTCCACACTGTCTTAAAGCTGCCATTTCATAGTTCTGCCCACTGCAGTGGCTGAACTCAGGCTGTCATCCTTACGAAGCCTTCAGCGTGAACTCCTGCAAAGCTAGCAGCAGCATTCTACATCTCTTCCAGTTCTCAACACTGCTGAGGCTCAAGGTGACGCCCAAACCTGGGCTTGGCTGCTCCTGGCTCCTCAGATGCTCCAGTCACTCTCACTAGGCAAAAAGGGCAAAAGGGCAAACCAGACCTCGCCAGCCATAAAGAAACTCCAGAATCAACATTCTCACCCAGCCACGCCAAGTTTTTGTTTGTTGTTGTTGTTTTAAAGATTTATTCTTATTTTGTGAGTGTTTTACCTGCATGTATGTGCACTATGTGTGTGCAGAGGCCAGATGAGGGCCCTCAAAACCTGGAACTGGAGTGACAGGTGGTTGAGAGCCAGCATGTGTGTGCTGGGAACTGAACCCAGGTCCTCTGCAAAAGTGGCAGGTGCTCTTAACTGCTGAGTTATCTCTTCAACACTGGGGTCCTAGATGAATCTGAAATTGGCACAGCACTACCTATGAGACAGTTTCAACACCAACCTGACACAGAAGATAGATAATGGTTCCCACTGGAAAATGGCCCACCAACTTGCTGTGGGAAGAAGGTTGTTCTTTCTCTAAAGCTTTGGCTTAAGGGAAAACCATCTGGAGAATAAGAAAAGCACTAGCCAGTCCTCTGAAATGGGCTGTCTGGGCATCAGTGGCCCTGAGAGGATCCCAAAAGAGGACCCCATGATTCCTTACCATCCCAACTGACAGCAACAGCACTTACATTCACCAGTCGCCCTCCAACAAGTTCATGATTCACCTACATGCCCAGTTCTCATGATCCCTCCCATCAAGCCAAGGTAGAGAATGTGGGCAACAGGAGGTGGTGGCAGTCAGGCCCTTGTCATGAGGGCTGCTGGTCAAAGTCGGTGTTCAATGAGTCAATCCCTGGAGGGTGGGTTCAGTACATGGGGGCACGGCCATCGGCTGGCTTAGCAGCTTGTCCATCATGCTGATTTTAGCATCTTGCTTTTCAATGTCCTCATATGGAGTCCATGACAAGTCATGCTGTAGCTTGTAGGCACCACGGAAGTTGTGTGGACAACCTGTTCCCCATTCCTAGAGAAGGCAAAGGAGCAGGTTCTCATAGGGGTAGGACATAAGTAAGACTTCTCTTCCTACTTATGGCACAAACCTCCATTTTGGCTTTTTACTTCAAAGTAATCAGAACCATCCTTGGTTACAGTAGACCCTGCCCCCCCTTTTTGGTTTTTTTGATACAGGGTCTCCCTGTAGCCCCAGTTGGCCTGGAACTCACTATGTAGACCAGGGTGGCCTTGAACTCACAGAGATCTGCCTGCCTCTGCCTCTTCCTCCTGAGTGCCCAGCTCCCCTCTCTTTTTTAAAGATTTAGTTTTACTATTTATGTATATGTACTTGGGGGATGGGTGGGAATATACATATGCCTAAGGCAGCCAGAAGAGGGTGTTGGATCCCTTGGAGTTGGAGTTATAGGCAATTGTGAGGCACCCAATGTGGGTGCTGAGAACTAAATTTGGGTCTCCTGGGAGAGCAGCAAGCTCTTCTAACCCCTGAGCTAGCTCTCCAGCCCCCAGCCCCCTCCCTTAGCAGAGATAATGAATGAAATAATCTAAGCACATACATTTTTTTTTTTATCATATCTGGGCTCACATCACCTCTAGGAAACCACTGACCAATCTTCATGGTTGCATTTTCATACGCATATGCCAGGAATTTCTCAAAGGCTGGAGTAGATTTGGGGGAATGAATGAATGTTCTTACCTCTGGAGAGATAATGGAGAAGTACTGCTGACCACTCTCCCGCTGGTAAAGATAGTAAATGTTGCCAGGTTTTTTCACCATATTACAAGCTACATGGTGCAAGTCAGCATCTCTGCGAGCATCCTCCAGCACCTGTAAGTCACACAGGTGTAATCAATGATGGCTCACAGGTAGCAGGCACTCACACCCAGATCATCCTAATCAAAACTCAAAAACTTTCAATGCTTGGAATCTTGCTGCCCCACAGCAGTCAATCACTGCTGGGATCCAAATGATTTTCAAGAGGTAAAGACGTTACTATGAAGGAAAAACACTGTTAAAAGAATAGTAATTTAAAATGTTTGGTGTGGCTAGCTTTGAGAGTTTCTTAAGTTCCTTTCCTCTTTTTTGGTGTCATGTACCTTGCTTTTATAAAACAAAACTCTTTTGCTTTGTTCCTCCTTACATGGCTTTATTGTACTGACCTTATGGTTCAGTGGTTAGAAGGACTGACTGCTCTTGCAGAGGACCCAGGTTTGAGTCCCAGCACCCACATGGCAGCTAAGAACCATCAACAATTCTAGTTCCAGGGGATTTGACCCCCTCTTCTGCACGCAGGCAATACACTCATACACATAAAATAAAAATGATAAAATATTTAAAAGAAAAACAAAAAACAACAGGCAAACAGCTGGACATGGTGGTACACACCTTTAATCCCAGCACTTGAGAGGTAGAGTCAGGCAACAAGTCTCTGTGAGACAGACCAGCCTGGTCTACACAGTGAGTTCCAGGCCAGCTGAAGCAACAGGGAGCCCCTGCCTCAAAACAATCAAAGACAAAGAAGCACCACCCTGTACTTAACTTCTGCTATGGCTTGGATGTCATCTGTCCCCTAGGGTTTCATATCCTAGGAGCATCCACCATTACGGTGACACAAGAACTGATGAAGGGAAATGGCCAAGAGGGAGGCCTTTAATCTCCTGAGGCACTGCCCCAAAAGGGAATACTGGTCTCCTCAATAGAGATTTTGGAAGAGCAAAGTAAAGGCAAGAGGTGGGGTATGCTGCTGTAAAAGTCTGGGCTTCACACTTGAATCTCTGGCTTCCTGTTTGGAGACGGGTCTCTCCTCCCACACAAGTCCTGCTGACAACATGACCCAGAGGGCTCTCCCCACAGCTACACCATGGCAGCACCATGCCTTTGAACCTCTAAAGCTGTGAGCTAAATGAAAGCCACTGTTGAGTTAGCCTGCCTCCAGCATTCCATCACAGCAGCACAAAATGGACTAATGCAACCTCTCGAGCTTATTCCTTGTACTTTACTCAAATCTTGTGCATGTCTAGAAGGTACTGAAAACAAGGCAGTGATTACAAGCTGGTTCAGCCAACCTCCAAACTAAGTGAAAATGAAAGCCTACCTAAACTGAACTGGCCTTGAACTTGCATCTCTTACCTTCCTAGCTTGTTGCTGTAAATGCTGGATTTGCTCCGCGATGACTGTCAGCTTGTTGGTAGCATTTGCTCGGATGAATTCATCAGCCTACAGATGGAAGAAAACCAAACTGTGGGGTGAAAAAGCAAGAGATTCCTATGATCTCATTTAGGTCCCAATATGAAGAGTTACACCAATAGCTCTGCTTCCACCTGAAGTGTTCTTTCCACTCTACTGCTGTGCACTGAGAATGTCCTGGAACACCCCCCACCCCCAAGGCCCAACTCAAATAGCAATGCCTGAGAAGCCCACACTGACATGACCCTATACCTAGAATTAAATGTCCCTTCCTGTCTATTCCACTGCTTTTCAGTCTGAACTCTAGTCACACTGAACTTATTTGGTTCTCCCACACCCTGATGTCTTACCACCAAAATGAATATGCCCTCCCCCCTTCAAATGACTTGTCCCCTTGTTCTGCATGACTAAGCCCTCCCATTTGTGAGTATGTGCACACGTGGAGGCCAGAAGTCGAAGATGTTTTCTTCAATCATGCTCCACCTTTTTTTTTTTTTCGGTCTTTTTTGAGATAGGGCCTCCCTGTAGCCCCAGCTGGCCTGGAACTCACTATGCAGAACAGGCTGGCCTTGAACTTGCAGAAATCTGCCTGCCTCTGCCTCCTGAGTGCTGGTCTTCCTTTTTTTTTTTTTTTTTGAGTTACGGTTTCTCCCTGACCAGCTCACTGATTCAAAAGCCTGGCTGGCTGGCTCTAGGGAGCCACCTGTCTCTACCCACTCCACCCCCATACTCTCAGTGCTGAGATTACGGACACAAGCTGCCAACCCATCTTTTACATAGGTGCTAGAGATCTGAACTCAGGTTCTCAACCGACTGGGCTACCCAGCCCCAATATTTTAAAAACTGTTAATGAGATATTTTATATTTCATGTAAAATCTTCAAAATGGAGCATACATTATATACTTGGTACATCTCAACATGGGTGTGAAATGGTCATTGGAAATGCTGGATCTGTATTTAAACATCATTACATTATAATTGAAAGTCAATTTACATACTCAAATTGTCCCAAATGTTCAGTTCCAATAACTGAATCAACTACCAGATTTTTAAAATTCAATTAAAATTAAATAAAAGCATTCAGTCTCCCAATCACACTAACCACACAATCCAAGTGTTCAACAGCCATATGTACTCCAGAATAATAATGTATTACAATTATGTGGTAGAAACACGTCACAGGAAAAAAAGAAAAATGAAAGAAAGAACTGCTTTCTTATCAGTAAGTGATGAGAAATGTGGGCATTTCATGTATAAAGTTATTAAAATTCAATTAACAATACTGTTTGAGCTCCATGCATGTAATCCTAGAACTTGGAGGCCGAGGCAGGAGGATTGCTACAAGTCCAGCCTAGGCTATACAGTGAGTGAGAGATCAGGCTGAGCTACATATCAAGACAGTCTCAAAATAAATATTAATTAAAATTTTAAAAATATACACTACTTGAATAGGGTTGGGTATGGCCTTCAGATAAGGTCAATGAGAACCCACGCACAGTGGCACAGGCCTGAAATCTCAGCACTCAGGAGGCTGAAAAAGTTGGATTGCCAGGAGGGTGAGGCCAGGCTGAGGTATACAATGGGTTAAAGGGCAGCCTGAAGTACATTAAAAAAATACTGTCTCAGGGACTAGAGATATGGCTTAGCAGTTAAGAGTACTGGCTGTGGTGCACGCTTTTAATCCCAGCACTCAGGAGGCAGAGGCAGGCAGATCTCTGAGTTCAAGGCCAGCCTGGTCTATATAGCAACTTTCAGGTGAGTTGAGCTACAGGAAGACCCTGCTTCAAAAAGACCAAAAAAAAAAAAAAAAAGAACACTGGCTACTCTTGCAGAAGGCCTGGGTTCAATTGCCAGAACCCACATGGCAGCTAACAACTGCCCATAATTTCCATTTCAGGGGATCCAACACCACCTTCTGGCCTCTGAGAACATTGCATACATGGGTACACTTAAATCCATGTGGGCAAAACCCTCATACACATAAATAAAAACAAATTCAAAAGGAAAAAAAAGCTACTGTCTCAAAAACCACACAGTTGGCCAGGCATGTTGGCACATGCCTTTAGTTTCAGCACTCAGGAGGCGGAGGCAGGTGAATTTCTGTGGGTTCAAGGCTAGCCTTGTATACACAGGGAATTCTGGGCCAGCCAAAACCAAAACCAACACCAAAAAAATACAAAAAACTCCACACAGCTGAAGAGTAGTGAGGGTAGGTGCAGTGATCTACGCCAGTGCAACTACTGGAAGGCCAGGAGTTTGAGGCCAACCTAGGCAACACAGTAAAACTTCTCTAGGGAAATGACTCCGTGGAGGACCTGAGTTTGGGTCCCCAGAACACATGTAAAAAACCAGATGGGGCAGTATGAGGCTGAAATTCCAGTCCTGGGGGACTGAAGGGTGATAGAGACCCACAGATCCCTGGGGCTTGCTATCCAACCAGCCTTGCCAAACTGTGAGCTCTAGATTCAGCAAGAGAGACTCCCAGTACTCAGGAGGCAGAGGCAGGCGGATCTCTAAGGTTGAGGTCAGCCTGGTCTACATATTGAGTTCCAAGACAGCTGGGGCTACAAGGAGACCGTCTCAAAAAGACCAAAAAAGAGGCAGAGGGAGGCAGATCTCTGTGAGGTCGAGGTCAGCCTGGTCTACAGAGTGAGTTTCAGGACAGCTGGGGCTACAAGGAGACCCTGTCTCAAAAAGATGAAAAAAAAAAACCAAACTCAACCTCCCAAAGCTTTCTGAATACACACTAAGTCGGGGGTCAGAAGTCAGTCCTGTCTGCAAGTGTATTTCAGTATGCAGACAGTAGTATGTTGACTCAATTTGTCTTTGAAGTGTTTGCTTCTGAAGGATGGATTATGTTGGAGAAACAGAAGCAACATAGTAAAATGTCCTTTATGTTTCACTAGATGATATAAAAGACAAAAACTGTGTTCCCTCTTTCCTTGGTTCAGGCTACTGTAACAAACACGATGACCACTCACAAATATCCAAAATGTTGTTTGCCCAAGATTTTGTCGTTGGCAACCTCCCTTCCAACAAGTGATCTGACTAAACAGACATGTGATGTTCTCCTAATTCATCAAAGTTTGACTTTGCTCCCACCTCTCTGAAAAAGAGAAGTTACATGTTTTTAATTAAAAGGGCTTTCCTAAGTATTTGAATTTTTCTTAAATAAAACAGAGATGTTTATGTGAATGATTTGGGCACATTAATCATTAACTTTATTGAGCAAAACAAAATCTTTTGAACATGATCAAGGCCAAATTGGACAGTGCGCACAAAGATGACAGAGGACAATAAGCAGCCGGGCTCTGCAAGTCTTCCTAAGACATGAGAGGGAACTTGGTTTTCCACTTCACTCTAGGACCTCCTGCCTCAAACCGCTCATTTTACAGATAGACGCTGAGGTCCGAGAGAAGCAATTTGCCTGAAGTTAGTGTATCCAAACTTATCTATCGCTTTCCTCTCTTTTCATTTCTTCTTTATTTTACCATTTTGACCACGGGTGTAGGAAGCCTTGGATATAGGGTTGATCATAGGAATATCGTACCCAGGGAACGAGGACATAGGACAAAACAGATTCTTCGCTCCTAAGAGGGTGAAATTCACCAGGTGTGGTAGCACACCCCTCTAATAGTCTTTGAGATTTTGATATTTGAAGCGAGCCTGGGCTATCCAGCAAGGTGAAACTGTCTCAACATATTTTTTAAAGGAAAAGATGCAGAGAAGGAAAACATCTAAGTTCTACACGCTCTTGGGCAACAAAGATCTTACAGGAGGCAACATAAAGTACGTGTACTTGTGCATCTTTAAGGGTCTGGGTTAGAGTGACCCTCTTCATGTGTGAAATGGAAACTGTGGCAACTCACAAGCCTGTCCTAAGGCGCAACTGCAATGTGAGGTCCGAGCCGAAAGACGCGGGCTGAACTAGGAAGGTGGTGGTTCGCTTCCCCGACGCGCCGGCTCACCTTCTGCACCTGCTCAGCGAGCGCCACGAGGTCTAAGGGGTCCCCGACCCGGTGGGTGTGGTAGGGGCTCACCAGAGCCAGGCCGTCGGGGGTCGCGGTGAGCTCCACCAGGGCTGCTGTGACACACACCCAGGAACAGAGGCGTAAGCACCAGCCCTCGGCCTCCCGCGAGGCCGCAGAGGCGCCCGCCCCGCCCCGCCTTCGTCCCTGGGGCAGTCCGCGCCCCACGTACCTCCTGGACCTGCGGCCGCCTGCGCACCTTGGCTTTCCGTGACTCCCCCTGCTCGACCCGGCGCCGCAGCGTCCTCCATAACCGGACTTCAGCCTCGCCACCAGTGGTTCAGCACCGAGCCGAAAGCGCAAGCGCACAAAGGCTTGTGGGCGGAGCTTCCGCATTCCCTGGCCATTCCTCAAGCTCCGCCTGAGTTTAGAGGCAAGGCTCCTCGGAGAGGCGGGGCTTCGGCTTGATTGACGGCAGGAGGCGTGCTGGGCATGCGCCGCTTGGCTTGGAAGGCGGGGCCCACCCAGGGGGCGGGGCTTGTCTGAGGCGGGGGCGGGACCCTGGCGTTGCCCTGGGCCAGAGGTCCCGTTAGGTAGACTGCTGCCATGGCGGGCCGCGCGTGGAGGTTGCTGGCCGCGCTGCTGGCCGTGGTCGCCGCCGCCTCCCGGGCTGGGGTAGAGTCTGAGCCGGTCTGGGACCTGACCGCGCCCGACCTGCTCTTCGCGGAGGGGACCGCGGCCTACGCGCGCGGGGACTGGCCGGGGGTGGTACTGAACATGGAGCGGGCGCTGCGCTCGCGGGCCGCCCTGCGCGCCCTCCGCCTGCGCTGCCGCACCCAGTGCGCGGCCGACCTGCCGTGGGCGCCGGACCTCAGCTCGGACCCCAGCCTGACCCAGGCGCCGGGCGCCGCTGCCCTGCAGGACCTGCATTTCTTCGGGGCCCTGCTGCGCCGCGCCGCCTGCCTGCGCCGCTGCCTTGGGCCTCCCGCCGCCCACCTGCTCAGCGAGGAGCTGGACTTGGAGTTCCACAAGCGGAGCCCCTATAATTACCTGCAGGTCGCCTACTTCAAGGTGCGGACTGGCCGGGAGCCCGGAGGCGGGGGTCTTTCAGGGACCGGGGTGCTTGCGGGGGAAGGGAGCAGGGAAGTGTCCGCAGAGAGGAGGATGGCCTCTCGGCTCGGGAGCTCTCCTCGGACCCAGGGCCCACGGGGAACCGTCCAAGGACCCACCTCACCCGGTTCTTACGGGCAGATGCTAACGCTAAAGGTCCTGCCAGGAGTGAACTTGGCCTTTCCTTCCGGGAAGGCCTCCTAGAAGGAATCGTGGCAGGAGCTTGGGAGCATCCTGATTTCATTGGAAGTGTCCAAGTGTGAAGCGAGGCGCGTACTGCAGCATCTTCCTTCCGGTTCGCCCTCCAATCACGCATTTTCTGCTTCCCGAATCCAAGAGCAGCGCTCTTTCAGGACGGAATTGCCACGTCGCCAGCAGGGGCTGCCTGGCTCCTCCCTGTGGGGGACCCTCTGGCCACTGTGCCAATTTCTAAAGAATATGGGTGTTTTTAGGGATGACACAGCGTCTTAAAGCCAAGCGAACAAAGGGGCTTGAAGCCCATCACGCTTGTATGTCGGTGCTGGCAGAGAGTGTGCCGAGACTCAACGTACTTTTCGTTTATTGACTCCTTTGCCCCATACGGTATCTTGTGAAGCAGATGCTACTATTAGTTGCATTTTAGTGGGCGTGAAGGTGTGAGGGGGTGCGCGTGTGGCATATCTAATAATAGTTTGACAGACCTTCAGTTCTACCTGAAGAGAGACCCAAGACTCTTGAAGACAGATGTCGGTCTCTGAATGAACCTCCTGCTTCTGCAGTTTCCTCCAGAATGTTTTGGTGACTGGGTGGAGTGCTGGTCTTACAAGCCCCAAATAGGCTGAGACTTCAGTCATGTCACTTAACAACCCTACTTAAAATTCTGTGACATTTATTGAAACCTACTACATTCCAGTTTCTTGGATAGTTGATCAAAACGATTGACTCTTGTTTACCTCGTGTTGCTGCTAGGAATCACTGTAGTAAGGGCCACCCAAAAGGTTATGTATGTAGTTAGGGTTGTGGGAGCACAAAGGAGGGAGAATCTAGCTTTACCTCAGTTAAATTAGGCCTGAGAGAAGAGGTGACATTGAACCTGTCCTAAATATTCCTAGTGAGAGGAAGGATGTTTGTTCCTGAGGGAAGGAAAAGCAGGCTCAAGCACAGTGTTGGGGGTGGATGGACTCCATTGCAGCGACTCCAGTGTTGAGGTATGTGTGGAGAGCATGGAGAGGTGACTGGAAAGTTTAGGGAGCTCAGATTCAGAAGAGACTTATGCACACTTCAGTCAGCTACCATCAGATTGGGTTTGAGAATGCTAATTCTGTAAACCATGTGGATTAAAGGTTGGAAGGAGAAAGTGGTGCTGTGAAAACAGTAATTCGAAGGCCTGTGCCTTAGTCCAACAGAGGACGCTAGGTGCCAGTGCCAGCTAGGGTAAAGAAGATCTGGAAAGGGAGTAAGGAGAAACAAAGGAAGGCAGGCACAGTGCTGAAAGATAGGGGAGAGTTAAGACTGGGTGGTGCCACATGCCTCTAATCCAGCCCTTGTACACTGGGGGTGGTGGCATGTCTCTAATCTAGCCCTTGTACGCTTAGGGTATTTCCACATGCCTCTAATCCAGCCCTTGTACACTGGGGGTGGTGGCATGTCTCTAATCTAGCCCTTGTACGCTTAGGGTATTGGCACATGGCTCTAATCCAGCCCTTGTACACTGGGGATGGTGGCATGTCTCTAATCTAGCCCTTGTACGCTTAGGGTGTTGGCACATGCCTCTAATCCAGCCCTAGCAAGCTGGAGGTGGTGGCACATGTCTGTAATCCAGCCTTTGTAAATGGGGTAGTGGCACATGCCTTTCATCTAGCCCTTGTAAACTGTGGCACATGCCTCTCTAATCCCAGCCCCTGGGAGGTCAGAGACAGGAGGATCAAGAATTCAAGGTGCTCCTCTGAAGGTTTTCCTAGGGAACTTCTTGGGCACAATGTAGCTGTTACCTTCTCTTTCTGCCCTGTGCCCAGATCATTGACGCTTTAGACTCTTCAGCTTAGTCACAACATTTCAGTTGTTTGGGGTTGGGGGAATCTCACCTTTAATCCAGCACTTGGGATCTGAGGCAGGAAGACTGAGAGTTTGAGACTGACCTACATAGTGAGACCCTATGTTGGTACACACACACAACAACAACAAACCCACAGTTTGGATGTGAACACAACACTCCTTTGCTTCCTCCATAGATAAACAAGCTGGAGAAGGCGGTAGCAGCAGCACACACCTTCTTTGTGGGCAATCCTGAGCACATGGAGATGCGCCAGAACCTAGACTATTATCAAACCATGTCTGGAGTAAAGGAAGCTGACTTCATGGACCTTGAGGCCAAACCCCATATGGTGAAAAAGATTATCCTACCCCCCCACTCCCCACTTCTCTGTTTTTCTGAGGCAGAGTCTTGCTGTGTAGCCCTGGCTAGCCTCAAGTCTTCCGTATCTTAATTTTTAATGTAATTTGGTATCCTATATTGTGTATTTTCATCATCCTTTTCTTTTCTTTTTTTGAAACAGGGTCTTCCGGTAGCCCCATCTGGCTTGGAACTCGCTTTGTAGACCAGGCTGGCCTTGAACTCACAGAGATCCACCTGCCTCTGCCTCCCAAGTGCATTAAAGGCATGTGCCACCACGCCCAGCTTTTCATCATCCTTTAACATTTGAGTAGCATTTTTATAAAGAGCTTATATTCTTTCATTTTAATAGTTTATAAATTGGAATATTAGAGGGATAAGGAAGTTGTAGTTCATTGGTGGACCATGTGTGTAGGGTGCACAAGGTTCGGGATACAACATATTCAGCACCAAAATTATGTATACATATATAATAATCATCATATAAGCATACTAATATTAGAAACTGTCAGAATAGCTTCCCCACACAGAGTGCACATGCTAAGTAAGCACTCTACCACTGAACTACATTCCCAGTCCCTTTGGGAGGCAGAGACAAGCAGATCTCTGTGAGTTCAGGCCACCCTGGTCTAATAGCAAGTTCCAGGCCAGCTGGGGCTACAGGGAGGCCCTGCCTCAAAAAGACAAAAAAAAAAAAGTTTATAAATTTCAAAAGGTTTGGGGCTGGAGAGATGGCTCGGCGGTTAAGAGCACAGATTGCTCTTGCAGAGGAACCGGGTTCAATTTCCAGCACCCACATGGTGGCTATGAACCATCCTTAACTCCAGTTTCAGGGGAATTCGAAACCCTCTTCTGACCTCCATGGCATTGCATGACACAGGTGCACTCACATACATGCAGGCAATACACTTGTACACATAAAAATAATAAATATTTTTTTAAAAAAAGTTTGGCAAAGCCTATTTACTTAGGGTGTTCTTTATGTAGCAGAACCCAGGATTCCCCTTTCCATCCATAACTGAGGAACAGGAATTAGGACCCCAGTAATGGTGGTTTAAGACAAGGTGGAGGTGCTCCTCGAGCCTGCCTTGAGTACACCTTCTCCCCAGTAGCATGAGTTCCGGCTGGGAGTGCGACTCTACTCAGAGGAACAGCCACAGGAAGCCGTGCCCCACCTGGAGGCTGCGCTACTGGAGTACTTTGTGGCCGATGCGGAGTGCCGAGCCCTCTGTGAGGGGCCCTATGATTACGATGGCTACAATTACCTGGACTACAATGCTGACCTCTTCCAGGCCATCACAGGTGCATGCAGTTCAGAATCCGGCTTGGCCACACCTCCCTGGGGTTCTGAGTCAGTGTCCTGATAGTATGCACGCACCTTCTGCAGCCTCATTTCTAAACTTCTTAAATTTGGGAATTGACTAAACATTACTTTCATGGGGCTGGGGAGATGGCTCAATGAGTAAAGTGCTTGCTGCACAAGCATGAGGAGATCCCCAAGCACCCCCATAAAAGCCAGGCATAGAGGCACATGCCTATAATCCCTATGCTGGAACTCACTGGCCAACCAGTGTAACCAAGTTGGTAAGTTTCAGGCTCAGTTGAGAGACCTCAAACAACAAGGTGAAGAGCAGTATCAACCTCTGGCTTCCATGTGTTTGCATTCACATATGTCGTGTACCTGGATACATATACACAAAACATGCACATGGACATATGCACATAGATTGCTTCCATTTCAGTTTGTCCATCTCAACCAGAATTTAATCCAAAGAATGACCTTATTCCTTATCTTGGATTCCTTTCAGATCATTATGTCCAGGTCCTCAGCTGTAAGCAGAACTGTGTCACCGAGCTGGCTTCCCACCCAAGTCGAGAAAAGCCCTTTGAAGACTTCCTCCCTTCACATTATAATTATCTACAGTTCGCCTACTACAACAGTAAGGCTTGCTTTCTTTCCTCTCTGCTGCCTCAACTAAGAAGCTAAGAGGCAGGCAGGGCTCACAACTGCTATATTTCCACACTCCTGGCTTCTGTGCTTATGGGAGGCCTCACGCCCAGTGATCCCTGGATATTTTGTCACAAGATTCAGGAAACCAGTTTTAAGAGCGCAAAGAACTGGGAGCAGAGGACTCCAGGACCTCTCTCTCTCTCTCTCTCTCTTGTCCTTCCTCTTTCATTTGTAATTAATTTTGTGCTTGAATTAAAAATAATTGCAGAAGTAAGGATGCCCTACTGTTTAAACTAACTCACAGGACAGTGAAATAATTGCAGAAGTAAGGATGCCCTACTGTTTAAACTAACTCACAGGACATTTCCAGCCCTCCTCCATAGTATAGTATGATGTTCTGGGGAGAGAGGGTGGAAAATACCCAGAAAAGCTTCCTGGGTACCTATTTGGGCGCTATCACAGCGTATTCAGGAGTACATGATGTGTGTATGTGTGGAGTTGAGGCAACTCATGAATAAGAAGATGTTACATGCAGAAAGTTCTAATTCTTTTCAGGTTCAATGGTGGCAGCCTTGAAGACGCTGAACATCTTAAAATCTGTTACATAGTCTAGTATATTCTGGTTGTGTTACGTGGCAAGCACCATTTTGCCCTGTCATCCTGGCTCCAGAGCTTCTCTGAAACCAAACATTAAGTGGCTGTTGGCACCCAGGGTTATAACCTTTCCTCACAACCTTTTCGTTTCTTGCTTTGCAGTTGGGAATTATACAGAGGCGATCAGATGTGCCAAGACCTACCTCCTCTTCTTCCCCAGTGATGAGGTGATGAGCCAGAATCTGGCCTACTACACAGCCATGCTTGGAGAAGAAGAAGCCAGCTCCATCAACCCCCATGAGGTGAGAGATTTGTTTCAGTGAGGGCAGCTGCCAGCTGAACCCCAACCAGAGGGTAGAAGAGTGCCGCTGGTGCAGAGTGTGTGTGGGGGGGTGCTGGACTCAGAGTGGGAGGGAGTACTGAGGCTTGAGGAGCACACGAGACCCTCCCAGCATCATCGGGCTCAGGTGTACATTCTTTGCATTGACACAGAGATTTCTCTGTCCCTCTTCGCACCCACCCCACCTGACACCTGATGCCATTTAGTCAAAGCCTGTCCTGTGTCCTCAACACTAGGTTTGTTCTTGCTCACCTGCTGTCCGCCTCCATTTCACCCCAGTTGCACTTGTCCCTGTGCTGACTGTTCTCTCTTCTCTGTCACCATTGTCACATCTCGAAAACAAGGAGAAGACCTAAGCAGCACAGACTTCAACTGTGGGAAAAGCCAAGGTTCCTTCTTTATAGCTCTGGAATCCTGAGCCTCCCCTTTTGTGAGCCCCTCCCAGGTGGAGACTGGCTTTCTTGTAGTTGTCTTCCTTGGCCACTAGATGGTGGCCATCTGGCTTTAAGAAGGTTTTTGCAGTCTCTGTCTTGCTTGGTTAATATTTTTTCCCCTTGTGATCCTTTTAATAAGCCTGGGGAGGGGAGGGAGGAACTATACATCCCATTCTGGGTGGCCTTGGCCTTCATCTTGTTTGACCAGTACAGCCATCCTTTCAAGTGGGCACTCTGCCCACCGTGGAGATGAGGACACGTAGAAGAAATGTGTGTAGTGGTTGTTACCAGTCAGTGGTTACTAGAGTCTGTTGCCTGCTCTGTCCCTGTGCTGGCAGCATGGTTGCTCACATGTGACTTACATTCGGTAAGTTGTTATAGGCTAAACAAGTGACAGTGGTGGGGTTTGCTTCCTTCCTACGGCCTTTTTTTTTTTGTCATTTTGAGACAGGGTCTCTCTGCAGCCCCAGCTGACCTGAACTCACTATGTAGACCAGTCTGGCTTTGAACTCACACAGATCTGCCTGCCTCTGCCTCCCGAGCGCTGGGATTAAAGGCGTGCGCCACCACGCCCAGCTCCTACAGCCTTTTTGGATTGTTGACAAGTGAAATGAGATAGCCCATGTGGCTCCGCATCTAGGCATCTAGCGTTTGGTGGAGGAAGCCAATAATTTAGATTTCTTAAGAGATAATGTCCATCTTCCTCCTGGGTAATTATAGTAGCTGACAGGACTGACTGCTTTAACATTCCCTCCGTGAACTTTCATTTCAACTGATGGTGCCTTCTTTCTCCTTCCTTTTGCTGCCTGGATCCTAGCAGGGGACCTAGGGAAAGATGTGACCCCAGAAGGGACTCAGTTTCCCTCTTCTGGGTAAACTCTACCCCTGAACACACATGGGATGTCAGAGTGCCGAGCCCAGCCGTTCTGCAGCTGCCCACCTTCAGGGAGGGGTACAGTCTGGTCAGTCTGAGGGATGGCAGAGTAGAAAGGACATGAGCTTGGATGCAGCATTACTTCCAGTAAGGTGCACACCTTTGCTACTCACAAGACTTCATCCATAAATGAAGATACTAGTGTCAGCCCATGAGCTGGCCATCATGGCTCATCCCTATAGGCCCACCACTGAGGAGGGAGAGACCCTGAGGCCTGGGCTGCAGAGTAAGACCTTGTCTCAAAACAAAAACAGCAGGTGAGATGTCTCAGTGGTCAAAGGAACTTGCTGCCAAGCCTAATGACTTGAGTTTGATCCCCAGGACCCACATGGTATAAGGAGACTCCTGCAAGTTGTCCCCCAACCTCCACACACGCACATGTCTACACGCATACACACACACAATAAATAATAAATAAATAAATAAAATTAAAAGAAAAGGCCAGGTATGGAGCTGCACACCTTTAATCCCAGCACTTGAGAGGCAGAGGTGGGCAAATCTCTAAGTTCAAGGCTAGCCTTGGCTACATAGCAAGTTCCAGGCCAGCCAGGGTTACACAATGAGACCTTCTCTCAAAGCCAACAACAACAAAAATTTTGTGAGTTCCAGGCCAGCCTGGTCTATATAGCCAGTTCCAGGCCAGCTGGGGCTATGTAGTGAGACTCTACTGCAAACAAGCAAACAAAGGCACTTGTCACACAGCAATTCAATCCCCAGAACTCAGATTAAGGTGAAAGGAGAGAACCAACTCCACAAAGTTCTCTAACCTCCACATGTGCATTATCACACATGTTCCTCTCCCATACACGCCAAGTAAGTAAATTAATTAAATGTAACAGAAAAGTAAAAAGAGGGGGGCTGGAGAGATAACGGTTAAGAGCACTGGCTATTCTTGCAGAAGACCCAGGTTCGATTCCCAGCACCCACATGGCAGCTAAGAACTGTCCTTAACTCCAGTTCCAGGGGAATCTGATGCCCTCTTCTGACCTCTGCATCATTGCACAACATGGGTGCACTTACACACATGCAGGCAATACACTCATACACATAAAATAAAAATAATAAAATTTTTTTAAAGTAAAAAAAGGGCTGAAGATATAGCTCGGTAGCTGAGTGCTTGCCTAGCATTCTTGAGGCCCTGGGTTCCATCCCCATTTCTGCAAAAAACATGGAGTTTTCTGGTTGTGAAGCACATGTTCATGTCTGAGGAACATCAGATCTTCTGTCCTCGAGATCTTTGGGCTGGGGCTGGGGCTGGGGCATTCTTCTCCCAGGGAGGCCTAGTTATGATCTGTCAAAAGTCCAGCTGTGCCAGGCAGGAGGAGCTCTGGAGCACAGAAGAGAGACATTTGGCCCAAACTGGGGAATGTATATCCGAAGATGGGGAGAAGAGGCCTCAGTCACATAGGGCCCTGAATGCCAGGGAGGGCCTCTGTAGGGCTAAAGGGCAGAACCAAGTTCTAGGAGATTCTTCTGTATTGCTTCCTCAGAACGCCCAGGAGTACCGACAGCGCAGCCTGCTGGAGAAGGAATTGCTTTTCTTTGCCTATGATGCTTTTGGAATTCCCTTTGTGGATCCGGTGAGGCAGAGCAGGAGCTGGAGGGGAAGGGAAAGGGGGAAGCACAGAAGGGTGCAGGAGAGGCATACCTCACAGTTCTGGGGAGAGACTGTCCAGCTGAGCCAAGCATGGCATATGTGGACCCTGAGGATGGGAGACAGAGACAGGCGGAAGATGGAAGGGGGTCCTGGTCCACTAAAGGCAACTTAGGTTCCAAGAGCTCCCACCTCATCCAACGGAGGGGGTAGGCGGTGAGGCTGCTTTGTTCCGGAAGCCCTCTGTCATGCACCTGAGACCAGGGAGATTTAAGTCACTGCACTTTTTATCCTCACCCACCCAGGACTCATGGACTCCAGAGGAGGTGATTCCCAAGAGACTTCAAGAGAAACAGAAGTGAGAGCCTTGAAGAAACTGCATGATTGGATCAGTCTGACAAAGCGCTTGAAGATTCCTGCGCCCAGGCAGATGGGAACTCCTAGCCAGGGGTGGGCAGGTCTAGTCTGGGAAGTTGGGGTGGGAACCAGAGCTGGCTCCAGCACAGTCCTCAGCCCACCCGTGTTCGCAGGTCAGAACGTGAAACCGCAGCCCGCATCTCCCAGGAAATCGGCAATCTTATGAAGGAGATCGAGACCCTTGTGGAAGAGAAGACCAAGGAGTCATTGGATGTGAGCAGACTGACCCGGGAAGGTGAGAAGACAGACCTTGACATACCCATGGGGCTTGTGGAGACACTAGGACCATGTACAAAACCTCAGTCTTTGTGCATCCTCCATATGTGCATATCTTCCATGTGCACATTCTCCATGTGTGCATCTTTCATGTACACATCCTGCACGTGTGCATTTTCCATGTATCTATCTTCCATGTACCATCCATGTGTGCATCCTCTGTGCATCCCCTCTACATCAGGAGGGATGGGCTGTTTCTGGTCCCCTTAGCCCACAGCTCTTTGTTCGTGCTTGTCCTCACTGCTGATAGACCCTTCACCATCTCTGCCCTCAAAGACACCTCAGAGAAACCTTGCAAAACTTCCTGTGACCTCTTTTCTTTGAGCTGAGGGTGTTAGGGTATACCTAGCACTGGGTGTCGTGTGACTGAGAAAAGGTGCCATCTTTAGGTGTTAGCCTCTCTCCTTATGTCAATCACAAGGCCTCAACAAATAGATGGGCTTAAATTTGGTCTCTAGTGTGGCCCCAGCACCTTAAGACCACAGGGAGAGATGTTGGCCTTTGCCCTACCCTTGCTTAAACTAGGTGAAGTTAACAGGATTAGCATGTGAAAAGAATTTGTCCAACATTCCTTTGTCTTCAAGCTTTTACTCTTATTTTTCTTCTCATAACTATCTGAGCAGTAGGTTAGGCAGATTCTAAGACTGTTACTTTACATGATGATGATGAAGATAACATTTTTTAGCATTTACTATAAATCAAATACTGTGCTAAGAGTTTAACTTGCCTTACATGTTGCTAAAAATAAATTCTCATCAAACTTAAAAGGTAGATATTTGAAAGATAGAAGATACTATTAATTAATAAAAAATAAACCTCAGAGCTAGAGAGATGGCTCAGTGGTTAAGAGCACTGGCTGTTCTTGCAGAGAACCCAGGTTCGATTCCCAGCATTCACATAACTATAACTCCAGTTCCAGGGACTCCGACGCTAACCTCCATGGGCATTTCACAACATGAGTGCACCTACCTACATGCAAGCAGTACACTCATACACATAGAATAAAAAATAATAAAAATATATATATATTTTAAAAATTGCTGGGTGTGGTGACACACGCCTTTAATCCCAGTACTTGAGAGGTAGAGGCAGATAGATCTCTGTGAGACTGAGGCTAGCCTGGGCTACTGGGAGACCCTGTCTCAACAAAACACAACGAAACAAAAATTAACCTCAGAGGGCTGGGGAGATGGCTCTGGTTAAGAGTGCATACTGCTCTTGCAGAGGACCCAAGTTGAGTTCCCAGCACCCACATTGGACAGCTCACAGCTGCCTGTCACTCCAGCTCCAGGGAATCTGATGCCCTCTTCTGGTCTCTGCAGGCACTAGGCACACACACAGTATCCATACATACATGCGGGCAAAGCACTTAAAAATAAAATTAACCTCAGAATGGTTGAGTAAACTTGCTAAGATCACACATTAAGTGGAAGTTCCAGGAATCAAACCCAGTTCTTTGATTCTGGAGTTTGTGTTTTAGGAATGCATGTAGCTGTTTGTGAAGGCCCAAGAGCCAGCAGCTGCTTGGTGGCAGAGTAAGGAGTAGAATCTGGACCTCCAGATGCTGTCCTCTGGACCACACTGCCTTTAGAACTGAGTGGAGATTTCTCTGATGAATAGGAAAAGGCAGGAATGTCTGTTTTACAGAGGCCTAGGGCAGAACTGCTGGGGACTTAGCTGTCTTGTCATTGCTCTGCAGGTGGCCCCTTGCTGTATGAAGGCATCAGTCTCACCATGAACTCCAAAGTCTTGAATGGCTCCCAGCGGGTGGTGATGGATGGTGTGATCTCTGACAGTGAGTGCCAGGAGCTGCAGAGACTGACCAACGTAAGGGAAGCCCGGCCACTGTGGCTTCTCCCACTGCCAAGTGCCTCTTCTGTGTGTGGCTGACCCCCTTGCTGACACCTCCCATCAGGCCCTCAGTTGCCCTGGCTAATTTTTACCTTCTCTTTTGGTCTGGGTAGGCAGCAGCAACTTCCGGAGATGGCTACCGAGGTCAGACCTCCCCACATACCCCTAACGAAAAGTTCTATGGTGTTACTGTCTTCAGAGCCCTCAAGGTAAAATCCATCTCAGGCATGTGGGTGGGAGTGGGGGATCTGCCTGTTAGGCAGATGGAGGACACTTCCGGCTCTGGGGAGGAGGTGGGGATGGTGGCCGAATGGGAAAAGTGGGATTGGAGAGATGGCTCAACAGTTAAGTGCGCTGGCTGCTCTTCCAGAGAGTTAATTCCCAGCAGCCACATGGCAGCTACTGTCTGTAACTCTAGTTCTAAAGGATCCAGTGCCTTTTCTCCCTCCGCTGGCATTGCACACACGTGGTACCTTTACATACATGTAGACAAAACATTCATACACATAAAATAACTTCAAAAAGAAAAAAAAAAGGAAAGGAACGTGTCCTATGGCTGACATCCCGGCTGCCAGGGAGTGAAGATAAGCTGTGCTGAAAGTGCTTCAGTTGTGAAACCTATTAGACCAGGTGCAATGAAAATGAGGCAAGCAGCACAGGACTGAGCTTCATGGCTGGGGTGGGCATGGGAGGGGCCAGGTGTGGGAAGCAGAGACCACACCTTGGCAGAGGGCTGGGGGCTGCTCTCTGGGCAGCTTCAGTCCTCAATGTCCTGGCAGCCTAGAGGGGGATATGCAGACAACTGACCACAAGTATCCTTTGCAGCTGGGGCAGGAAGGGAAAGTTCCTCTGCAGAGCGCCCACCTGTACTACAATGTGACTGAGAAGGTGCGGCGTGTCATGGAGTCCTACTTTCGCCTGGACGCCCCCCTCTACTTCTCCTACTCCCACCTGGTGTGTCGTACTGCAATAGAAGGTGGGCCTCGTCACCCCTGCAGCTTCTTATGTGAGGGCTGTGCCCAGCCCTGCGCTGGAGACTTAGGACATGGAGAAGACCAGGGCGAGGTCTATTCATGCTGACTGGAGAACCAGTGTGCGTAATTTGGCAGCAACCAGGGTGTTGTATACAGCAGTGGCGTGGAGGAAGTCTAGTCAACTACCTGGTCAGGAAGGTTCCAGAGCAGGTAGGAAATATTCAGGATGGATGTTTATGGAGTTCACAGGGTAGCAGGAAGACGTGCAGCCCAGAGGGACCAGCGGATGTAAAGGAACAGAGGCACTAAGGGAACTAAGAAAGTTGCCAAATTATGGAGAACCACATTCTGGAGTGAGTTTATGCTTTATCCTTTCAAGCAATCCTGAGCTCTGTTGTAAGGTCTGTTAGTAATTGCAACAGCTCTGGCCAGGTATAGTGGCGCATGCCTTTAGTCCTAGCACTTGAGAGGCTGAGGCAGGTGAGATCAAGGCCAGCCTGGTCTACATAGGGAGTTCCAAGCCAGCTGGGGCTACAAGGAGACCCTGTCTCAAGCAAACAAATACTACCAATGCTGCATGGAAGCTACTGCATTTGGAAGTCAGCGAGAGGCAAGGCTGTTCCTTGTTCTTCACCCTCACGGTCCTTTTGCTTTCCTGAGCAGGAGTGAGGCACAGCCAGGCTCAGGGTTCATATGTGGCCCACAGCTAGCTCTGTGATGCTGTAGCCTTTGGAAGGCCTGGTATTGATAACTCCCTTGGTAGGTGGCTTCTCTCTCCCTCAGGGTGTTCAAGGCTCTATGAAAATCTGAACACACCCCAAGGACACAGGACTGTGTGTCCCAGGGCCTCAAGGTGGAGGAGCACCGGCATAGGCAGTGGGAAGCTAGGGAGGAGTCATTTTTTTAAATATTTTATTATTTTTATACATATGAGTGCATTGCCTACATGTATGTGAGTGTACCCGTGTCGTGTAATGCCGCGGAGGTCAGAAGAGGGCTTCAGGTTCCCTTGGAACTGGAGTTAAGGATGGTTCTTAGCTGCCATATGAGTGCTGGGAATCAAACCCAGGTCCTTTGCAAGAGCAGTCAGTGCTCTTAACCCCTGAGCTCTCTCTCCAGTCCTCATCAGACATTTTAAAGAGATGAGTTTTGCTGCTGTGTTGAGACTTGGAAAAGGTGGATCAGACCAGGGGCAGGGATCTGGTCAGTAGTGATCAAGGTGGATCAGGATGAAGACTTGAAGTCTGGAAGTGACAGAGGGAAGAGAAGCTTGGGAGGACAGCTGTCAAGGACAGGCAGGGCCTGGTGACTGGCTAGACCTGACGAGGTGTGTTCAGCGTCCTGAAAGGGTCTGTTGACATTTTATAATAAGTCCATCTGTTTTCTTTCATATGCTTTCCCTGTGTGGTTTTCTACCCATTCCCTCTCCCAGAGCCACCTTTGCTGGTCACTCTGCTGTTCCCATTTGCCCTCCCCTCTCCTCCTGCAGATCTGCGGGAGGATTGACCCCCTGGACCCTACACCCACCAGACTCCTTGTTCTTCCACCTGGGCCTTTTCAGAAACTCTAGCTACGCTAGGGTTATGCGCCCACAGTTGTGTATTACATACACCCTGCTCACCCCTGAAAACTCATCCTGATCTCAAAGCTGTGGCCTAACCAGAGACACTGTCCCCCCAGCCCAGTACACTGACCATTTCTACAGACCCAAGCATATTTTGGGATGCTCCTACTCACCCACCCCATGTGTCAATAAGAGAGCCACTCACTATGTCTCCTGCGTACTCCATTCTAACATGGATTACCTTGGCCCCAGAGTCACAGGCTGAGAGAAAGGACAGTAGCCACCCAGTCCACGTGGACAACTGCATCCTGAATGCTGAGACCCTCGTGTGCATCAAGGAGCCCCCTGCCTACACATTTCGGGACTATAGGTAAATGTGGTGGCAGGCGCAGCACTGGGAACATGTGCTCTGAAGCCCCTCCATGCTCTGCACTCCGCCTGCCCATCCTTGACATGTGTGAACACAAGGCTAGGGCCAGCTATCCCTAGAGTCCAGTCTCTTACCCCAGTCCCCACATAGGAAGACAGACAGTGGGGGACCTTTCAGGTAGGATGTGAGTAGGAGGGTACCAGCAGGCTTGGCACAGAAGCACCCTGAAGGTGTGATGAGTCCCTCAGGTGGGACGGGAACTTGCAAGATGTTTTCAGCTTCAGAGAAGCTTCTGAAGGCTTCTTTCCTATGGAAGGCTCTAGCGAGTGGGACAGAGGCCATGTCTGCGTGTCCCTGTCTTTCACAGTGCCATCCTTTACCTTAATGGGGACTTTGATGGAGGAAACTTTTACTTCACTGAACTAGATGCCAAGACGGTGACGGTGAGTGCTCCTTGTCATCCCTGGGGAACAGGATTTCTGGAGCTGATGCCCTCAAAATACAGGGCACAGAATGACCAACTGGGCTTCCTTGACGCCAGTGCCCTGACCCCATGCCATAAGGCTTCGAGCTATGGCAGCTCTCTTCTGACTGTTCTTTGGATTTGGAAAGCCAAGATGGTGCTGTCCTCAGTCCTGGCCCCAATAACCCCACAATTCTAAGTTGTTTTCTTGTGTCTCCCCTTTGTTCCCTCATAGGCAGAGGTGCAGCCCCAGTGTGGAAGGGCTGTGGGATTCTCTTCCGGCACTGAAAACCCACATGGAGTAAAGGCTGTCACCAGGGGGCAGCGCTGTGCCATTGCCCTGTGGTTCACACTGGACCCTCGACACAGTGAGCGAGTAAGAGCTGCTGGGAGTGCTGCTTGGGTCTATCCAGAAGGGACTTAGCTCCTCTTCCTCCTCCTGAATCCTGGTAGTGGTGGTGTCACAAAGACGCCCTGGGCTGGGGACTCCAGGCTCCAGTACTGTCACTGAAGACAGTCATAAGATGGGTCACTGCCTCACCCTCCCTGGGCCATCTTTCTTACCTGTAAGTGGGAAGCCAGGGTGGGAGTGATATGGACTCTTTAGTTTTCTCCCTGGGCCCCACTCCAGCTACCAGAGCCTAGGCCTGCTGGGAAGGAAGTGAGCCCAGAGACGTGGTGGCAGGGCTCCCAATATTTTCTCTGGAAGCAGCAGGTAAAAAGGTGAGGACCTGGCCTGAGGCCTCGCTGAGTAGACAGTTTACATTCCAGGACAGGGTGCAGGCGGATGACCTGGTGAAGATGCTGTTCAGCCCAGAAGAAATGGACCTCCAGGAGCAGCCCCTGCATGGCCAGCAGGGCTCCCCACAACCTGGAGAAGAGTCTCTGTCAGACAGGAAATTGAGGCACAAAGATGAGCTATGACAGCACCCAGACACACATTGGCGATGCTGGAAGGAACCCTGCTGCTTGGACATGCCAGCCCCCAGGGCTACAGAGCAAGGGACACTTCAGTCTGCCACCCAGCCGAGGGAACGCTGCCTGCAGCCTTCTGCATGGTGCTACTGCTCTTGGAGTGGACATGGCTGGATGCCACTCTTCTCTGGGCTTAACTGAAGGCTCAGGACACAAACCCAGAACCACCTGGGGCCTGTGTAGGTAGCTCCTGACGGCAACAGTATTTAAAGTCTATATAGACAACCAAAGAATGATTGGTGTTTTTGGTTGGTTTTTTTTTTTTGGTCTTTTTGAGACAGGGTCTCCCTGCAGCCCCAGCTGTCCTGGAACTCACTATGTAGACCAGGCTGGGCTTGAACTCACAGAGATCCGCCTGCCTCTGCCTCCCGAGTGCTGGGATTAAAGGCATGCGCCACCACGTCTGGCAGATTGGTGTTTTTTTCATTTGGTGGTTTGTACCAAGGATGGAAATGTACCTGTTCTGCTGCAGAGGCTGTACTTGGTAGAAATGACTCTGGGCAGTATGTAGTGGCCCGTGCAGCACAAGAAGACATGCCTGAATACCCAGTGGGTCACTTCCCTCTGCCTCAGGCCAGACAGTTAACCCAAGTACCTTAGGCTGTTGTCCACAGAAGAGGGATCATGGTTGGCACCATGCCTAACTTCTGGGAGAGCTGTGTGGCCCGGATGCCATAATCAATGTGGCACAGTCTATAAACTTTAAAGCTCTGATCATTATTAATCCTCTTCTAGCAGGGGCAATGGTCAGCAGTGCTCTGGCATGTTACCCTCAGAGTAGCCACATGCTTTTGTTCTGATGGCCAGCCTCAGCCTGTCCCTGAGAGCTCATGTAGAGGATGACACCCCTGAGACCAAACACGTGGAACTGGAGATTCAGCTCCTCTGCCACACTGCCAGCACCAAGCCCACTTCCACTATGCTTGAGATGTAGTAGGGCAGAGTGTAGGAACCTGCAGTCAAGCATCATTTAGTCAAATCATATTTATTTATGGGGCACCAACCTGGTGTTGGGAATATGATGGAACAAAGCAAGCCCAGCCCTTACAGAGCTTGTATTTTGTAGGGAAGACAGATAATAAATGTATAAATATGTATGTGTGTGGTTTGTGTATAAGCCATTGAGGTAGAAAATCAAGTCAGGGCTCAGAGGCAAAAGGAACAGCAAGAAGGCTGGTGAGGGGCTGGCGAGATGGCTCTGCAGCCAAGGGCACTTGCTCTTCCAAGAGGACCTGAGTTGTGTTCCTAGCATCCACATCAGGTGTTCTACAGTCACCTGTAACTCCAGCTCCAGGATATCCAGTGCCCTCCTCTGGCTTCCACAGGTACCTGCACTCATCACACACACAGACCTACACATACATAAATTTTAAAAATATTTTTAATGCCAGGTTTGGTGGCTCATGCTTTTAATCCCAGCACTCCAGAGGTAGAGACACGTGGATGTCTATGAGGTTGAGGCCAGCCTGGTCTCCATAGAGAGTTCCAGGCCAGCTGGGGCTATAGGGAGACCCTACCTCAAAAGTTTTGTTTTTTTTAAAGATTCAGGGGCAGGGGGCTGGAGAGATGGTTCAGTGGTTAGGAGCTTCCAGAGGACTTGGGTTCAGTTCCCAGCACCCACATGGCAGCTAACAACCATCTGTAACTCTTAATTCCAGGGGATCTGACACCCTCTTCTGACCTCCAAGGGCACTGTACAACATTGGTGCACTTAGATACATGTGGGCAGTACACTCATACATTAAAATAAAAATATTTTATTTTTAAAATTTTATGTATGTGTGTATTACCTGCATGTAGGTAGTGCACCCATGTCGTGCAATGCCGGTGTAGGTCAGAAGAGGCCATCGGATCCCCTGGAACTGGAGTTATGGACAGTTGTTAGTTACCATGTGGGTGCTGGGATTTGAAACCAGGTCTTCTACAAGAAAAACCAGTGTTCTTAACCACTGAACCATCTCTCCAGCCCCTAAAATAAAAATAAATTTAAAAAAATTTTAAGGGCTGGAGACATGGTCAGAGGTTAAGAACACTGGCTGGTCTTGCAGAGGACTTGGGTTTGATTCCCAGCACCCACATGGTGGCTAACAACTATAACTCCAGTTCCAAGGGATCCGGCGCACTCTTCTGACCTTCTTGGGCATTGCATGACACAGTTGCTTTTACATGCACGCAATACATTCATACACATAAAAATAAAAAATTTTAAGAGCAGGGGCAGAATGGACCAGGAAGAGAAGGTTAATGGTCAGGTCCAGCAAGGGTTTTGAGCCAGTAGCCACAGCATCTGACTTACATGTTAAAAGCCATTGTGGACAAGTGAGTAAGATATGGAGAGAGCTGGAGAGGAGCTGCTTGCTGAGTGGTCCAGGAGAAAGGAAGAGGCCTGGGCCAGAGCAAACAGTAGAGGTAATGAAGACCAGGCTGAGGTCAGTTGTAGAGTAGAGCCCATGGGAGGAACTGATGGACTGTCATGGGGTATGAGCAAAAGTGTCCAGAAGTTAAGCCACTGGATAAGGAGCTGCTGCTTCTTCCCTGGGCCAGCAAACATCTGGAAGACAGTTACTGGGCAGGATCCACAGTTTCAGTTTGGGTTAGGTATGCTAAACATAAGTTTGAGAGGTATATTAACTAGCATTTGAAGCCAGGAAAGGTACGCAGGGACTACCAGAAGAAAACTTGTCTAGAAGTGGGTTGGAAGACAGCAAGACAAAGCTGAGAACCAGGAAAGCAAGAGACAGGTACCAGCCCTGAGATGGCATTTCAAGGAAGAACTGTGCAGTGATGGCAAATGGTACCTGGAGGCTGAACAAGATGAATACTTGTTTGGAATCCCAGCACTTGGGTGGGAGAAGCAAGAGAATGGAGTGTTCTAGACCAGACTTCACTACATAGTGATTTTGACGCCAGACTGTACTATGTCAAAAACAGAAACTGAGAACTGAGGCTCCACTTTTGTGAGTTGGTCAGAGAGAACCTCCCAGAGATGTTTTGGTGGGGTGATGTGCACAAAAGAATGAGAGAATAAACGAGAGAATTCAGGAGGGGAAGGAGCTCGAACCACTCTTCCCAGGAGTTTGGCTGCATGTGGAGGCAGAAGGATGACCTGGAGGGCGATGTGGGTTGTTTTGCAAACAGAGATAATCACGTATCAGTGTGCTGATGGAAAGATTCAGTCAGTCCACACGGCCACTCATCTGTTAGCATTGACTGTAGGGAAGCTGCGCTCAAAATGGTGCCGACTGCCTCAGTGGAGGGAGGAGCTAAGGAATTGGCCATAGGTCAGCCCCTTCCTTCTCCTCCTTTCCTTTTTGTCACGGACTGGCACCTCCCATACGATGGCCCTCGCCTAAGATCTAAGCATCCCATGCCAACGACGGGTAAGATCTCCTTCTGGCAGGTACTCCTAAGACAGGAAGTGCACATGGCCAGGTGCACTGACCAATGATGGGCAAGGCTTAGCCAGGAAGGAGACAACCTAAGACTGGCTGGGATGCTCAGCACATGGAAAGGGGCCAGCCGCCTATCCACAGGGCACCGCCTGACAGGTAGGCCGTGATTAGCCTGTTAAAGAAAAGAAAAAGGAGGAGATGTGGGGACCTAAAGGCCCCACCTTGCCAAGATGGCGCCTAGAGGAAGTAAGCAGGGTGCGGCCTGACCTGTCCTGAAGATCATCGGATTGGATGCCGGTCCTTCTGCACCCCTGGGTGGTGTGTGATCAGCGCATGATCAACGTGGACACCTATGGGACCCTGCCCGTGTGGCAGGTTGACCTTTAAGCTGATTGGGTGCATTAGGGGGAGGGGGTTTCCAAGGGGATTTCCAAACTGTGATTTTTGCCTATATAAGCTCTGTGACACCTGCAATAAATGAGTTGAGTTCCTGCTTGACAAGACTCCCTGTTGCCTATGATTGTCCTTGGCAAGGAGGGCTGGTGAAACGGGCGGACAGCGCACTTACCTCGGCCCCCAACGCTGAGCTCCACATCCTGCCTTGCTGGCTGCGGTGGGGGGGTGGGACGACACTCGGCACCCATCCACTTGATCACTATTCCCAGAGCTGCAATCAGGTGTACTTAGTCAGAGCATGTTAACTGACCCCAGACTCAGGCCAGCAGCCTCCCAAATGCTTCTCAGATTCTGTGTGTGTGGACATCACCATGACTTTTGCATCCCCACAACCATTTGCTGAGTACCTACTGCAGGCTGGGTAGCAAAGAAAGACTGACACACAGCCAGAAGTCCTGATGATGCCACAGTCAATTGAGAGCAGGGAGTGGAGGGAAAGCAAGAGAGTCAAGCAAGGCATCGATCAGGCTTGGGGTGGGTGCAAGGGAGGCCCTGGAGGAAGGCGTTGTGAAAGTGACCCCCATGTGGTTTGGCAGCCTAGGTAACCAGGTGAGAAAGAGGACAGCAGCCTGAGGTCAGACGCAGCTTTCCGGGTCGGACCGCTGGCGTCACAGGACAAGCAGTGAACACGCCTCGGCACCCGCCACACTCGCCCACCCGCTGCCTCTGTGCGAATCGGAAGGAGCCCCACAGCCCACAGCATGAAGCATCCCCCCCACCACTGAAAGAGCGTGCCCCTCAGACCCCCCCCTCCCTGGCCTCTGAGAAAAGCTGTCCTCCACCTGACTCTGGAAATCCCCTTCATTGTTCAAACCCTTTCCTGGTATCTGTTTATGATTTCTATGGAAATGGTCTGGAACAGAAGAGATAGAACATTCTGCCCCAGGTAAGCTAGCCAATGACAGTATACCTGATACATCTGTGTATGGTCTCTATGGGAATAAACTGGGGCAGAAGAGAAAGAATGTTCTGCCCCAGGTAAGACAGCCAATGACTGTATAGGTAAAGTCTCTGGAAATCAGCCCTAGATTGTTCCAATCCTTTCCTGATTATTCTGTGTATAGTTTCTGTGGACATCCCCTGCTGTGTGGTTTTTATGGTTTTTCTGCTTAAAAGCCCTGCGTTTTCACTGCTTGGGGTCACAGTACAGCTCTGAGTCCCCAGCCAGTTGGCCTCAATAAAGCGCTTCTTTTTGTTGAGACTCAGTGTCCGAGTGGTCAGTTTGGGGAATTCCTCAGAACCCAAACACCACGACCAGGAAGGGAAAGTCCACCACCTCCTCCACATCTGGCGCATCCCATACCTCCCTTCCGTTGTTTTTTCGCACTTTCCAAGGACTGAACAGGGAGTGGCCTGACCTGAGCAACACGGGGAGGCTTCCG